AGACAAAACCACAGTCTCCAGGAACAAGTTACCATGTGTTCCTTGTTCTGCAGTATACTTTCTTACCGGTTAACAGAAGTAGTCCACCCTTCTCTTTGAAGGGTAGGCGACTTCCAGTTACTTCACATTTATTATGAAGAAACAGGATTTTCATAGGCTCTTACTCAACTACACTGTGGTAACTATCAGGGAACTAATACTTGCAATTACAGAGAAAAACCACGAAGCAAGCATCCCCTAACCATTCCAAAATAGGAAAGCAAGTACATAGAAATTTATTAAAAACTAGCATTTTGCATTTGCTAAAGAAACTTTCTATTTTTAGTCACCTCGTTTCTTGGGACCTGATGGTTTTGCCATTCTTGAGTTTGGCAATGCAATAGTTGCTCTGTCTTATGGCAGTGGCCAGTGCCACTCAAACTTAGCCAGCAATTGTGTATCAAGTTTTCAATGGCTCTGTACTCTGCAGATCACTTCACTGTACCTCCTTCTGGTTACTTATTCAGGCTTTGCCTGCTGTTCTTTATTAAAGAATTTGGGGGATATTTTGCTCTTCTCTTCAATGCTCCCTTATGAGGTCTTTTTCTTCCTCTTTTTTAAATGGGATACTTAGATCTACGATTTTGCGGTGCTTTTGACCTGCCAGTCCTCTTTGAATCTCTGGGGGGAAAAAATGGCATAATTTCATGGCACTCTACAGCACTCTGGTAAGCCTATACCACTACCTCTGTTCTGCTACAACAAAGGTATACAGAACCTGTGTCAGTAGATGACTGGTAATGCTGCAACATTGCCAAATTTTTGCTTGAAATAGTCTAACATTTTGTCTCAGGCCATGGCCGTTATCTTGTTTTATAAATTAATGATTCAGAACGAAGAGCTTTTAAAGTAAAACTTCGCACTTCATATACTAGTGTCTTGGCTCTTAACCCACATATTCTTCTACCCGTTTTCTTCCTCTACCTCCCGTTTCCCTTCTTGCCTTTCCAGAATATTTTTCTGACTTTAGAGCCAATTCTGTCCTAGCACTTTGAATTCACACGGACAAAATACTACAAGGCAAATGCCCATTAACAAGTGCAGCCCTTGGGACCTGCTTCTGCAACTCTGGCAGAAAGCTCAGCACTGTAATGCTGCACGTATATGAGTGTCTGCATGATCACGGTGGAGGATTCGAGCAGTGACTGGCCCTCGACCCCCTCCCCAGAAGATACCTAATCAGGCCCTAGCATGGTCTACCTTCAGGCCCTTGCTCACTTCTGGAATCGAACTGAGACACACATGACTGAGAACTCCTTGGTGCCTGGAAGGCTGCCACATCCCACCAGGCCGCAGGGGCACATCCAAAAACCTGTACAAACTAAGGCTTTATCCCAGGGAACAAGTCTCCCGGTCTATTTATTCATAGGAATCCAAGGTGCTGTCTGTGCGTGCAGTGAGGCATGAACGCTGTACCTTTCAACTCCAACCCCTTCTTAGAACAAATAAATAAACCAGTGTCTGTCGCTTTTCCCATCAGGGAAGGCTGTACTATCCATCACTTCCACAGGTGCACACAGCAAGGCCGGTGCTGCTAAGGGATGCTGGGACACGGACTGAAAGTTGAACAGCTACCACAACTCACAAAAGACAAATTTCTACATGGCTTAAAAAGAAACAGTTATTTGCTTCTTTATGCCATAAGAAGGCAGCGATCTCAATTTTATTTTTTCCTTAAGAAGCCAGACATTTAAACGCATTGAGGCACCCGATTGCCACTGCGATGCTGAAATAGGCAACTCTAAGGTTTTACCTTAATGTCAAACCCTAACCACTAAGCAACCTCAGCCCACTCTCTCCTTGTTGGTCTGTGAGGAAGAAAGTTTGCTGCTGACAAGGAGCAGTCAGGTGTCCCAGGAGAAGGGGATGTTTTTCATTTGGAAAAGATCAAATGTAAGGAAAAGCCTCCATTTGCAAATTCAGCTTCAGCACAGCTATCCCTACCAACGTTCCCTGCTGGGCTTCTCTTGGGTTGACCAAATGACAGGAGCAAGACGAATCAACGGGGGTGAAGCCTGCAGCAGCGAGATGCTGTCCAGTGTTGTGGAATGAAACGTTGTTCCCCACCCAGCGCACCTCAGCACCAGCGCGTTGTGCCACTGGTTTGTGCCATTAGCTGGAAAACACAACTATCGCCCAAAGCAAGAAAAAGCAGTAACAGGAAAGCTGCACTCACTTCCCCACCTCCGCACCTGCAGAAGTCTGATTGCGCCTGCACGTATCAAAGAGAGGTAAAGCTACCAGGTAATTTTTACTGCGTGAAACACGAGCTGCCCTCACGCTGAGCCTCATCAGCTCACGTGTACGTTCACGGATTTACATCCACGCCACGGACACGCAACGCGCCAGCCATTTCCTGCAGCCGCTGTCAGCTCGCACCCCCCGCCGGCCCGCCCCGCTCCCCGCGCAGGGCGGCGCTGCCCGCGGAGCCCCGCGGAGCGGGACCAGCCTCCGCCCCGGGGCGCACGAGCTGCCCTCACGCTGAGCCTCATCAGCTCACGTGTACGTTCACGGATTTACATCCACGCCACGGACACGCAACGCGCCAGCCATTTCCTGCAGCCGCTGTCAGCTCGCACCCCCCGCCGGCCCGCCCCGCTCCCCGCGCAGGGCGGCGCTGCCCGCGGAGCCCCGCGGAGCGGGACCAGCCTCCGCCCCGGGGCGATACCGTTTCCCCGCCCAGAGGTGAAGGCGAGTGTCAGGGAGCGCAGCCCAGCGCCCCCCGCCCGCGGCGCCGGAGCCCTACCCCGTC